GTGCATCTTGGAGGAGAGGCATTATAGCTTTTATGTGGTCCTCGAAGGGTCTCTGTCTCCCAAACTGAGCACCATGACTGACGTGGACAGCCTGTCAAGCTTGCTGCTTCCTGGCTGGTCTGGATCCTAGGACTCCCAATTCAAAGCTGATTCTCAGAATCAAGTTCTACAGAAGAGGCTGGCCTGAATTTCTGGGGCAGGGCGGGGATCAGGAACACATATGGGCCTGAGAGGGCTGGGCCTGTAACCTGGTGGTTAAGGGAGCCAGATCCCACATGGCCCATTGTGGGATTCAGATCCTGGCCCCAGTGGCTTAAGAAAACATGTGTGTGTGCATACCCCAAATCCTGACAGGGTGGAGAGATGGAGAAGGGATTATGGCATGACCACGCCCCACTGACAGCTGCTCTCTCCCTCTCCCCCTCTAACCCTAACCCTAACTCTAACCCTAACCCTGGTGGGCACACATACCCTTTAACAATAACAGCCAAACTCCCAAGGCTTACTGCTGGGCTTCGCTGTCCAGGGGGGGCTCAGCTTCCCAGCACACTGGTTCTGCTTACAGCTCTCCACCCCTCCATCCCCTAGGCCCAAGGTGGTGTTGGAGAGGTGCTTCCCAGCTTGGCTGCCTGCCCTTCTCCTTCATGGCTACCTTGGTCTAACCCATCTCCCTGCTTCTACGCTGGCCCCACCTCCATCACACTTTGAGTAAAACCTAAATCCCTCACAATCCCTACCTGATCCGGCCTGCACCTGCCTCTCTGGTGTCATTTCCGCCATCCCCCCGCTCACTGAGCCAAGCCTGGCTGACCTCAGTGCTTGTGCCCTGGGTTCGGTCCTCACTGCAGTGTTTGCCTTTGCCAGTCAGTCCCTCTGCCTGGAAGGCTCTTCCCACCTCTTTCTTTGCCCAAGTTCTCCTGGAAGTCTTGACTTAGATGCGTGCTGACATCCATCTGTGAGAGCTTCCACAGCCCTTCCTTATCCTCCGTCAGCGCACCTGCTCTGCTTCCTTCGGAGCACTAAGGCTGTGTTCTCGTCTCTGAGAAGGTGTCAGCTCATGGAGGTACCAGGCTCACGGCAGTACTGAATGTACCCTTGAGTACCCGCTGAAATAACCGACAATACCAAGTGTCGGCAAGGCTGCGGAACAGTAAGGTTCTCACACAGCCGCTGGGATTGCCGAGGTTAGGAACTCTTAGCAGTTTTTGTAAAGTCACACGCATACTTACCAAATGACCAGCAATTCCACTCCTGGGTGTTTGTTTACCAAGAGAAATTTAGACCGACTGCCACACAAAGACTTGTGCACAAAGGTTGCAGACCTACTCATACTGGCCCCAAACTAGAAACAAACCAGCTGCCCGTCTAGAAAAGGCAGAAACTGTGGCATCACCCCTCTCTCCGCCACCCCAAGAGGCAGCTGAGAGAAGCCCCCTGCGTTCCCTGTGGTGGGGTAGCCATCGAGAGTCAGCAGTTTCTAGATGGGCGGATGACAGGGAGCTGGGGGCAGTGGAGTTCCCTGGAAGACCCAGAGCTTACTGCAGCGTTGTGCCCTGTCCTCTTCACCATATCCCAGCCAGTTCCAGAGTGTTCGGCTGTTCTCTGGAGAGTCAGTTTATGGTCAGGTGTTTCGTTTAGTGCGTATTTGCTTAGCGTCTTCCTCCCTCAGCCCCCAGCATGTACGCTCCAAGAGGACAGTGGTGTGGCTGTCCCATCCCTGGCTGTAGTGCCCAGCACGGGGCCTGGCTCGCAGTGCCTTGGCACTCAGTGTTATGGGTTGTTGACTACGTGTGGATT